AGTGGCCAGCTTCCACAGCTGCGCTGCTTGCAGTGGCCAGGGTCTAATGAGGGTGTGTTGCTGCAAGCGGCGAGCTTCCCACTCCTACGCTGGTTGCAGTCAAGGCCCTGTGCTGCTGCAAGTGTAGAATTTAGAGAAGGAAGTGGCCTTTCCAAGTTGACTCACCCTTTTGTGGGCCACGCAGGGGTAAAGCCACTGGAGGGTAAAATTTAGAGAAGGAAGTGGCCATGCCCAGTTGACTCACCCTTTTGTGGGCCATGCAGGGGTAAAATTTAAATTTAGAGAAGGATGTTGCCATCTCAACTTGACTCACCCTTTTGTGGGCCATGCAGGGGTAAAATTTAGAGAAGGATGTTGCCATCTCAACTTGACTCACCCTTTTGTGGGCCATGCAGGGGTAAAATTTAGAGAAGGATGTTGCCCTCCCAAGTTGAATCACCCGTTGGTGAGCCACTTGAGGGTAAAATTTAGAGAAGGAAGTGGCCATTCCAAGTTGACTCAAAAGAATTTAAACCGGAGGAACACCTAAAGCACCCCTAAGGACTAGAAACCGAGCCCAAAGAAACCCGAAACCAGTGAAACCCAAAGACAACCGCAAAGAAGTCCGTATAGTGAGTGGGATACCTTTTCTGTTCCCTCCCTTTCTCTCCCTTTCTGATGCTCCTAGTGCTTGGAAAGCACTCCCAGCAGAAGCCAAAACAAAAAGTTTCCTCCCTTTCTCTCCATCACGCTGGCTTTGGCGCTTCGTCCCCTGCCCTTGCACTTCCAGCAGAAGCCAAAGCAAAAAGCAAAAGCAAAAACAGTAGGGGAAAAATGTGACAAAAAATCCGGAAACAAATTGAAAATTACTTTAGTTCGAGTGATCCCCACCATGACATTTCAATCATTTGTCTTGATGCCATAGTGAGGAGCATGTTGCCATAGTCGTTAGTATTGTAGTTCTCGATGTTGCTTGTGGGTCCTCGGGTTGTGTGCTGTGGTTGTGTGCTGTGTTGTGGTTGTGGTTGTGTTTGTGGTTGTGTGTTTGTGGTTGTGGTAGTGGTTGTGATTGTGTGTTTGTAGTTGTGGTTGTGGTTGCGGTTGTGTCTTTGTGATTGTGTGTTTGTAGTTGTGGTTGTGGTTGTGTCTTTGTGATTGTGTGTTTGTAGTTGTGTTTGCGGTTGTGTGTTTGTGGATGTGTTTGTGGTTGTGTTTGTGGTAGTGGTAGTGGTTGTGATTATGTGTTTGTAGTTGTGGTTGTGTCTTTGTGATTATGTGTTTGTAGTTGTGGTTGTGGTTGTGGTTGTGTCTTTGTGATTGTGTGTTTGTACTTGTGGTTGTGGTTGTGTGTTTGTGGTTGTGTTTGTGGATGTGTTTGTGGTTGTGTTTGTGGTTGTGTGTTTGTGGTTGTGTGTTTGTGTGTGTTTGTGGTTGTGTGTTGTGTGTATGTTTGTGGTTGTGTGTTTGTGATTGTGTCTTTGTAGTTGTGTTTGTAGTTTTGTGTTTGTGATTGTGTTTGTAGTTGCGTGTTTGTGATTGTATTTGTGATTGTGTTTGTGATTGTGTGTTTGTGGTTGTGTGGTTGTGGTTGTGTGTTTGTTGTTTTGTGTTCGTGGTTATGTGTTTGTGATTGTGTCTTTGTAGTTGTGTTTGTAGTTGTGTGTTTGTGATTGTGTTTGTGATTGTGGAATTGTGGGTTTGTGATTGTGTTTGTGGTTGTGTGTTTGTGGTTGCGCGTTGTGGTCGTGTGTTTGTGATTGTGTCTGGTTGAGGTCCAGCGGTGCACACTGCGATCGGATCCTTGCGGTTGAGGTCCAGGGGTGCACACTGCGATCGGATCCTTGCGGTTGAGGTCCAGGGATGCACACTGCGATCGGATCCTTGCGGTTGAGGTCCAGGGGTGCACACTGCGAGGGGATCCTTGCAGTTGAGGTCCAGGGGTGCACACTGCGATCCGGAGCTGGCCAGACAAGATCGGCGAAGCAGATTGGCGAGGAAGGAAGCAAGGAGGAAGGAGGAAGGACGAGGAGGCGGCGGAGGCGGAGGCGGAGGCGGAGGCGGAGGCGGAGGAAGGACAGCTGTGATAAAATCTAACAACCCTCACCTGGCAGGTGGGGAAAAATTACCGGAAAAAATGTCAATCCTTTCCATTGTGAGGTCCGACTGTCGTGTTTTGGAAATCCTTCTTTGACGTCGTGAGTGCCTAGGTTGCTCCCCTTGCAAATTTGCTGAATTTGGGATTTATATCAGTTACATTTCTTACGAAAAGGTTGTTGTTCCTTCCAAAGGCCACAAGGCACCTCAAAGCAAAGTCTTTTTGCGATGGCGTCAAAGTCGCCATCGCGTTCAGTGACACATGGGCGTGAGTCAATTGGCCTCTGGCATCCGGTGATACACTCCTGAAAACTAACATAGACCCTGACAATGGCCCCCTGGAGGAGTGTTTTCCTCTGCCAACCAGTGGTTTTCAGGGTCCATGTTAGTCTTCCAGGGTGTATCATTTCAGTAACAGATCTGGGTCAAAACGTAGACCCAACCGCATGGTCGGTGTTTTTCAATTTCTTAACGGAGCGTCCACTCCGTTCATCTTCAAGAGTAATCCAGGAGCAGTGTGAAACTCAGTTCCATGTTTCTTGCAGTGGACCCGCAAACAGCCACCCCTCTCGCTTCCCGCAAACCTAAAAAGTCTTGACAGCTTCAGCACATTAAAAAAAAATAAACAACTCATCAGAACAACCGTTTTTGAGGAATAGACCAAGCTGCACAAAGCTCTCATGACGATTGAGTATACAATATTATACAATTAATTTTCTATTTGAACAACTGAACAGACCCAAGCAAATATACCCGAGGCCGAAAGCATCAAGGACGAAATCGTGACATGCATGTTCCGTGTGAAGCTGACCAGTTACCTGTCCTACCGAGGCCGGCGCTTAAGGACCAGCTTGCCGAGGGCATCCGCATGATGTTTGTATTGCACAGATACTGGTCGAAAACAACTCCGGTCAGACCGGGACCAGAGGATCACACCATCTCACACCCATCTCCATCGTTTGAATCCTGTCTCGGCGTCGCATGCCGGATCAATCGTGACAAGACTTTATCAGATCATGTCAGTTCGCACACGTACAGAATCTGGTTACTGCTGCACCTGTCAGCAAGTGTGCAATTTCTGAGCTGATATGAACTTGCTACGTCTTGCTACCATGTCAATGTGATTCTTTTTTACTCAGCATATTCAATCATATCGAATAAATCATTATGATGTTTGCTGTTAGTTTAGTTGCTTTCGTGATGCACTCCAGCTGCCCAGACATCTGGTGTCCAACCTGCCGCCAGCGCATCGAGTGGCATCGAACATCCTGCCTGAAGCTGGACCAATTGGTGCACATCATCGGGCCCCGAGCCCAAAATCGAAAGTTCAATAGTTCAATTCCTTCTAAACATGTTTGGGATGTCGTGAAGCTGATCGTTTCTGTTTGTTTGGGAACCCCTTTTTTTTGCAGGGGTCTCGAAGTGTATGAGATTTTTCTAGTACCCTGCAGGGTGTTGTAGCCCAGGTGTTATAGAACCGTTTCATCATCAACAGTTTGTCCGCCATCCAAACGTAACAAATTGGAGCTTTGGTGGTCAGGTGGGTTGCCCATGGTTGCCCAGAAGCTTTGGTGGTCGGCCAGCTGGGTTGAGGTGCTCCACGGGTGAACATAGCTGCTTTGAGCTTCCTTGCTCCTAGTAGAAATGTCCTTTGCTCCTAATAGCTTCCTTGCTCCTAGTAGCGATGCCAGGAGCCCCTAGTAGCGTCATTCATGCACTCGATTCGGCAGACGTCCTCGAGGCACTGGACGTCCTCCAGGCGCTGGTGTTCCCCTACCTAGATTCCAACGATGAACAACAGATGAACTCATTCCAGAGCTGCAGGGTGTGACGGAAGACTTGTCTTCAGCCGCTCAGACCGGCGCGACAGCTGAAGATCCGCTGAGAGGAGCG